AAGATAATAATACAATGCTTGTAAAATTTTATGATGTCATACATGATGAAGTTAATGAGTTTATTTAATAGTGTATACAAAAGAGTTATACTCGTAGATATCCAGTCTGGTTAAATAGACAGCTAATAAAATTACTAAAAAAGAAAAAAACTTATTACTAAGAAAGAAAAGAAAACCAAAGTTATACAATATTTAAAAACCCTTTTGATGAGATAAAAACAGAATGTTAAGAACAGATTGTAAAAAGTTATCCTTGAAATGTTACAATAATTACACCAACACTATAGAAACTAGCGACTACAAAAGTTTCTGGTCATTCTTAAAGGCTAAAAGGGGTGGGCCAGGTATGTATCCGGCTAACATGAGTAATGGAGTTGAATTTGCTAATGATGGAACTGAAATAAGTAACGTGCTTGCTGCGTAGTTTCCGTCAGTCTACACACAAGACAACAATTTGATACACAATGATGTACAATTTGATAATAAACACTTTTTTTTTCTCCCTTTCTTAACATCGAAAGGGGCTGGACCTGTTGGCATCCCTAATTTATTTATTTTAGTTTCATGTGCTAAAAGTTTAATTACCCCTCTCTGTGTGATCTATAAAAATCGTTAACTACCGTTATATACCCCAACGTTTGGAAAGCGGCCAGAGTAGTACCTTAGTCAGGCAATAGCGCATTTATTTAAAACTATAGACCAATTTCTATTTTGTCCAGTCTCGCGAAGGTTTTCGAGTCTGTAGTGAATTTACATGTGCAGCATTTTTTTTAAGCTTAGTCTAGTTTAGTTTTTTTTTTTTAGTTTTTTATATGACAACTCCCGCACTAGGAATAAATCCTGTGTCGCGGGGGACTTTACAAACATACATGAAACGGACACAAAGTACACCCAGTCTCACAGATCATTGACACGGTTTTATGAATAAATAGCCTAGACGATATCAAAAAGCCTGAAACAGATTTGGATGAACTCTCCAATTAGTGTTTAACTAATAAAATGCAGCTAAATGTATCTAAATGCCAGCACACTAAATTTATTGCAGGGTGCCAAGTTACAAGAGGTTGACTGTATTTAGGACTTAAGTGTAACTGTAGATACGAAGAACTGTCTTAGGATCAAATTCTCCAATCTGTCGTCTAACTAGGCTTGCTAAGAATATATTCAATGATTCTTTGTGTCATTGCTGAAAATGTATTAACTCCGTCATCTTCAATTAATTTAACATTACACTGGTCAACAATAGATATTCATCTTTTTTTTTACAGACTTCAAACAGGGTATAAGGTTTCTATTGGTATTTTAATATTACCTGTTATATTGAGGGTCGCATTTATGGTTTTTTTAATTTGATTAGATTTGTAATTATTTTTTAAAGTTTAGTGCTCTTTGGAAGTATTTTTTGAAGTCTATTTACCTTTTTTTAAAAGGATTTATTAGTATTAAAAATGTATATTATTATGTTTTTCTGTGTTCTACAATCCAGCATTCGTTTGGGATTGGATATAATAAAAAATAAAAGTAACATTATTGTTAGTATAGGACAAGTGAGGACTTTATTTCTGTAAGAAATTTGTTGTTTCCTAGCCTGTTCGCCTTCCGATTGACCAATATTCTTTTGGTTCTTGATATCATTTAAGTTTTACTCTTAAAAGACAGAAGTAAATATCTGATTTTAAGGAGTATTTAAATGAGAGTATTATAGAGATTGTGATTTTTTTTCTATAAAGTAGTTCAATGCATAACACGATACATCAAGATGGGTACCTAAATGAAGTCAATTGTATTCATTGACCCCTTGTTGTTCAGCCTCGGCGTTGACGCTCAACAGTATTATTATTAGGCAATTTAAGCTACTGACACAAATATAAAGTAACTCAGGACTGTTCAGTACAGTACAGTAGTCTTTTTTATTTGTAATAACGAAACGAACAACTACAAATATGAACAAAATAAAAAAGCAAATATATTAATATCATCGACACCCTTTAATAGTCCACTGCTGGACCTCTACTTTAAAGTATCTCATTGCTCGTGAAGTTTTCAGGCAACCTACGGTAGAAATGCGAACCCTACATTGATTACGGTAATTTTGGGTAACTTTGAATTCGGTTTGACTTTGAACCAAGTTGTTAAATAGATTTATTATATTATTAAAATCAAACTTTTTGTTGTTTCCATATCGTAACTGCGTTAAAGGGATCGCCAAAATGTTTTTTTTAAATTAAAACGAAAAAAAACTGTCTAATATATTATTTTTACGCCTTTTCGGTAGTGGACTTATTAGAAGTGTTTATTGCTCAGATACGTCATTCAATTACCCATAGTTCATGTTAACTTTGAATAAGACTTTTGTGGAAATTTCTGTGCTGTTTTGTTGTTTTCTGTAAGTTTATTGTTTTGGAAAAACAAACAAACTCAAATGAACAATTGAATAAATTTCAATAATATTAATCTAAATATATAAGAGAAAAAAACTAACAGACTGATTCACTGACTGATCGATCGACGCACAGCTGAAACCGCTTTGTCTAGAAGTATGAAATTTTGCACAAATGTTCCTTAGATGTTGTTCCGTAACTTGACCTCTCACGTGCCGCTGCGCTGATCATCGCTCACCGGTGAAAGCATTTTACAGTGTAGCGGCATATCGCGCTTTTCGCAGCTTATTAGAGGTTAAGCAATCAGTCAGAGTACCTGATTTTTCTTAGTAGATGTATGCGAGATGTTGATTATATTATAGAGACACTAATAGAGACTTAATTCACAGCGCTTTACATTTTGTCTGTTTGTATTATTGGACATTGCTAATTTAGGTTTATTGCCAACAAGATGTGCGGTCCATGATACGGAATCTAACACTTAGTTGACTACATTCAAGTACACAAAATTGAACTTAATATCTAGTTATTCATTAATATTCGATCTGTGGATTTAGCAGTATCTATTCAAAAACTAATCGTGCCCTCTTCTAGCGTGTATTTATAACAGTTTCCCTAGAAAGCATATGCTAGCATGTCATGTTCATATCGCTTCCTCATATATTAATCGAGATGAGAAGCCGATAAAATATAAAACTACAATGTTAAGAAAAAACACCTAAATTCGAGCCTATTTTTTTTATAAAGAATCTCCCGTGGCTTGCAATGGGAGAGGCATATGTCCAGCAGTGGACTGCGATAGGCTGATGATGATGATGAAAGACAACTCTCGCATTATAAATATATATCCTGTGTCGCGGAGGCCTTCACAAACATATATGAAACGGACACAAAGTGGTGTCCTTTGTGGGGATCGAACCACTCACAACACTCAGCGCAGTCGGAAGCAGATATAAATTAATGTTGATTGAAAAAATAAAAACAAATTATATACTTGATGACGAATGTATACAAAAAATGTAAGAGTATTTGCAAATTTTAATAGTCATAAAATTTTGCAATTTATAAGTTTTGGATGTTCTATAATAATCTTAAAAGATATCTGTCTCTCTAAACATCAATGTTTTCATTTCTGGAATCTCATGAATCATGTCTGGCAATATACCTCGTTTACTCTGAAGTAGACTTCTCCTAGAATCTTTCAAAACCCATAAATATTATAGTCAGCAACGGCCTTTAACAGTCCACTGCTGGACATAGGCCTCTCCTTAGAAAGGAGGTTTTGGCCTACTAGACCACGCTGGCCAGACGGGTTGGTATAGGGTTTGTGTCAAGTTTTCATTCTCTCTGTAGTGCTGGTGTGCTGCGTATTTCGCTCCCTTAGTCGCCTCTTACGACACCCACGGGATGAATAGGGGTGGTGACACTCTGTATTCTTAATCCGTCACCACACAAATATTATAGTAGCAGCAAGCATATAGCACGATATTTCAGGCGTCATTTCTGTAAAATATAACTATAATGTATTCTTATTGTAGTTAATTAATAGTCTGTCGGTGTATAATGATGGTTCGCCAGATTCAAAGTTAAGACCTCTTCTTTTCACTCTCTCTCTCTCTCTCTCTCACTATTTACATAGATATTAAATGAACATGAGAAAGAGTCTCATGTTCATTTAATATCTATGTAAATAGTACGTTTTGGATCACGTAACCTTACAAGCAAAAAGAAGTGATTTTGTGGCATTCAAACTGAATATCACCGCGCAGCAAAAATGGAAATAATTCCTACAGAGGTACTTTAATCCCTAAGAGATTCAACTTCTAGAGAATGATGATAAGAGCCGGTAGAAGGAACATAGCAATAATTAACAGCCACACTTTTTTGTAAGACAATTTTTTTTTTATGGGGAGGGCCTAATTTTTAATAGAAAGGGATTCCCTGCCCAATTTGTAACACAACCAATTCTAACGAGTAGAACGCCTCCAAATCTTTAAAATTATGACGTAGGACCTACCAACGTTTTATTCACAGCGACATTATTGTATTTTTTTTTATTTAAAAGACAATTTCGCACTAAAAATATATCCTGTGTCGTGGGGGAGTTTCTAAACATACTTGAAACGGATACGAAACACACCCAGACTCAGAACGACAATTTGTGGATCACACAAAGTGTCGTCCCATGTGGGGATCAAAACCACAACACTCAGTATAGTACAAAGCGGCGTGGCGACCGCATCAAAACCACTACAGCATCCGTGCAGTCAGTATACATACACATACATATATACATATATGCTCACAGAACGTAAATTTCAGAATAAAGTTATATGTATACGATATTCAACAACAATCGGCATTCATGTACAGAGAATGAGAATTCACTGAAGAATTGAAATGTATATATTTTAATACTAAGTATTATAAATGCGAAAGTTTGGATATATGGATGTTTATAACTCAATACACATCAGAAAGAATCTCATGGAAAAGTACCTAGATAGGTTATATGTGGAATGTTTCGTAAGCATTGATTGATAAAATCGTTAACGATGGTGCACACAAACGGTGGTGTATACGTAATAAAAATTTCTTATTTGTTTTGTCTGTTTTCAGCGGGATATATATACATGGGCACTAGACCACCGAGTCCATCACAAATATTCGGAAACTGCAGCAGACCCCCATGATATAAGGCGAGGCTTTTTGTTTGCTCATATTGGCTGGCTATTTCTGACCCCTCATCCAGCAGTAGAAAACCGAAGAGAAGCACTGCGCAATACTTCTCAAGATCTATTAGCCGATCCCGTTGTGAGATTACAAAAGCTGTAAGTGGTTTGACTTTTATGTATTATTATTAATAGTAAATAGTTTTACTTGCACCACACAGAAAAGTTATTAAAATACTACTATAATTTCTTCTTAAATGCCAATTTTACGTATGGAAACTTAAGAACTTACTTAGATTTTATGTGATGTGGGTGATCTTTGCATTCCATTAGTAAAAACAAGTGTCTATAGTTCTAACAACTACAAAGCACGACTAACGAATTAATCGTTTGACAAATTTTACCTTTGAAGATGTTCATATAGAATAGTTTCTAAATGTGATGCTACAGCAAAATATACATAGTATATATTGAACGAACAGCGAATTAAACAGTCCTAACAATTTCGTTATCAAAACTCGAGTTGAGTGAAAGATCAACTTGGTTCGCTCTGCTCAACAATCGATTTAAAAGAGAGCCTAATATCAAGCCTAATATAGCATAATGTGTATAACTTTACAAAAAAAATATGTCAAACCTTCTAAGTAGTTTGTGTGGACGATAAAAATCAATTTTTGATTCGAAGTTATTGGTTCATAAAACAGAATAACAAAAAGAACTCCAATTCCTTAATAATGAGTTTAACGAGTCGTTTAATCTATTTAAATATTTTGTCATTAGAGGAATTGATAACGAAATTATTAGGACTATTAATTGATATTTATTTACTCACCTTGGAAGCGATGAGAGTTTACAATACCTCAGAAAAAGACTCTTAAATTGTATTTTTAATATCAATATAAGATGGATAATGTGACCTTGATGTAAGGTTTTCTTTGATGAAGAACATTGCTGTAAGACTACTTTATAAATTGGGTACAATAGAATAAAGGTCAGTCAGGCCAAATCAGTATTGTTTAGCTAACGTCAAAACGGAAAGTTTGGTACATTTTTAACGAATACGTCACGGCTTACTGTTATCAAATTAACCAATTTAAATGTTTATTTACAAAGCGATTGTATAAGAAAGATCAAGGGAAACTGTATGGCAACTTTGTCATTTTTTAAGTTACTTTTGCCCTACTACAACTAACTAACTACTAACGTAAAACATTTTTTTATTTTGATCTTCCCAATTACAGTGTTTGAGAGAATTTCTATGTGAATTTTAATGTGGATGAAACCGACACCAATTTGGCTTCTGATTAAAACATGAACATAAACGGGTTACACTACGAGTATAAAACTTAATTAAGGAATGTCTTTCAAAAAAGTCGACAGCCATACGAAATAACACATTTATTTTGAGAAAAAATGTTTGTCATAAGAGTACTGAAGATGTACCAGTTTAAGGGAAACTAAGTCTAAAAGTTAAAAAATCATATTAAATTTAATCTAATTACTTTTACCAAAATATATTTATATAGGTACCTGTATAGGTATACCTGTACGATAACTGTGTTACCACTCACTAATATCAGTTTTTGCTAAATATATTTTATTTTCATAAAGATTACTATGAAATATGAAAAGAGGGGGTCATGTTTTCATTGTCAAGTGATTTTCTAAGTGCCTCTATAACGTTGAAAATCTGATTGTAAATATGGGATTAACATCTAACAAACATTAACGTCTTGAAATGTAAGATCATTATGTAAAAGCATAAATATACTTTCCTTTTATTTTCATACAGCTAAATTAATGGTAAAAGTTGCAATAAAATTTGTGTTTACTATTCCGAAATAATTTCTAATTAAGCACTAATGAATAGTGACATGAAAAATAAAGTCAGTATCTATTTTTTTTCTTGTTACTATTGATTCTGTCATGTTCCAGGTTCTTCATACCAATGTTTGCAATTTTGAACATTGCGCTTCCAATTTGGATTCCATGGTACTTTTGGAGAGAAACTCTTGTGAATGCCTTCATCGTGAGCTTCGTAACCAGATTTACAATCACTCTGAACGTCGCTTTTTGTGTTAACAGTTTTGCTCATTTATGCGGCAACAAACCTTATGACAGGTAATATTCATACTGTCTATTTTAAGTTTTATTCCATTGTTTTTCTTCATTTTCTCGAAAGTGTCAATGTTTTTTTAAATAATCACTATAATCTATTAGTAACTTAAAATATTCAAAAATGTTTATTTAAACTCAAATAAAATATGACATTTTTGTATGTATTGTACAAAGAAAATTAAATATAAAAGCATTTATGGGTTTTAGAGAAACAATAATGTACATAAATATTTTACGTGCCAAATAACAGTAGTAATCCTTAACTATACATCATACATACTCTCACGTTCATCCTCGAATTTCGATAAATTAAATGTTTTCATTGTGGTCTGTAAGCAACACTTTATAGAGCGATAAGAAACTGCATCTAAGCAACAAAAATTGCGGGGTAATCTGTGTACTCTAAATATCTATCTTTATAATTTAGTGTACCTACGTATTTATTTTTTGTGTGATTTATGACCACATAAACTGATTCGTTATCTATTGTTCTATAAACTTATAGATTTCGTAAACAAATATCAACATATGAATGAACTTTCATATTTAAAATAGGTATTAGTGGGATAAGATGATTTTTTTGGTACATAATACACATTTCAGTAAATATTTTTGTTCCAAAGTAAGTTTTTTCGTCTTCACATATAATTTGTATTGTATTACTTCAACTGCAAAAATTATGAACGTCTAAGTCCTTTGTTATACGTTTTTATTAAATCTAGTAATACTATTGACACAGATGATTAACTTCGTTTTATTTTTTTAGGTTTATAAAATCTGTAGAGAATAGCATGGTTAGCCTGGCGGCGCTTGGTGAAGGCTGGCACAACTATCATCACGTATTTCCTTGGGATTACAGAACTTCCGAACTTGGTAAACTAAATATTTCCACAAACTTTATCGACATGTTTGCCAAAATTGGATGGGCTTATGACCGTAAGTATAACCTGTTAATTGCTTTTATTTCGAGATTATACAATACATCAGTACAGCCTACATAGTTACATCGTTCTTTCTTTTGTTTATTAATTGAAACGTGATCACATAAATTAATTAAATGACATATCTACTCTTATAAATTCGCGTTGGGTAACAAGGGGCAGGAAGGGAACATCCGGGTTCCCACATAGGAGGGGTCATCTATAATAATAATAATATTCTATCACATACACACAACGCCATCTAGTCCCAAACTAAGCAGAGCTTGTACTATGGGTACTAGACAACTGATATAAATACATTATATACTTTTTTTTTTTGTAAATACATACATATTATACGTAGAAACACCCAGACCAAATCAAACATCAAATGTTCATGCACACAAATGTTTGACTTGAGCGGGAATCGAACCCGCGACCTTTGGAATAGCAGTCCGTTACACAAACCACTACGCCATCCAGTCGTCTATGATCCGTAGAAGTCCCGAAGTACGTCGGGTAGGGTATACCTGGTTCCGCGGCTACTGGTACCTCGAGACGGCGTGCACTTTTGGTCAGTTTGAGTCCGACATAATCACCCACTGGTGGGTGGTATCCAAGGGGAGTTCCGCGAAGTTTCCTCGAACTGCACCGGTCATTACCGGTCCTTACCGGTCTTAACGCATTTTGTGTGATTTTAGTTGATTCGTATATCATATGCATAACATGCTCTAAAAAGTTTTTAAGCTGACAGGCTTATTGCCATTTCTATTACCTCAAACGTTTTTGAAAGTAGATTCATAAACATTTTTCAACCAAGTTTTCACATTTTAAATAAAAAAATATTGTTTCAGTAAAAGCCGCTACTAACGCAATGGTGATCAGCAGAGCAAAACGTAACGGAGATGGTACATTTGGGCATTCGGAAGAACCCGATCCTTCACCAGACTTTCATTGCGAATAAAGTCTAGACATAAACAACATTCTTGTCACAAGTGATTATTACGTTATTATGTTATGTCATATTACAAGGACTTTATTATGTTATCGCAAACCAGAAAACGTTTAATTTGCAAATAACTTAATTTTTTTAAATAAACTGACATTCCTTACTACTCACTGATCACATCCTGAATTACTCTTCTATAACGAGACAGTCGACAGCCGGTCCGGCACGCTGACCGGTGTTTTTTATTCATTCATTACTAATTCTTACTCCCGCTAAACAAAAGTTATTTGCCACTGTAGTAGTAGCCTATTAATATCCATGGATTATTTGGAATAATTAAACACGAATAAGATGACAGTGGCTCGACTTGTAATCAAATTGTTGCACAAATACTATACACGTACATAATTATGCTCACACCTTAATCAAATGAACAGCCCGTCGGTGGCCTTTATTCTGATCTATATCTCACCGACTAGATCTACTGTCATCAAACTTTTTGCACAAGCCCACCGATCTAAGATACTTCTGATCTGTCCCTTCTGCAGAACATCGCCAATAGTTCATTGTATTGTCTGTTTGGTCATGTTAGTGGAATTGCCACTGAAGTATTTTTTACTGTTTATTTTGCCCTTCGGTTTACACTCATTCCAACTGTCTCTACCACTTCGGCACACTCTTTTTTATTTTTTACAGTGTGTTAAAACTGTTAAAGAAATTATTAATCCGTGTCAGAAACTTAAAGTGTTGCATAAAACCAAAGTCAAATCTATATACCTCATATATTATGATATCATATATCTCGTGTCCTTTTATTATTAGTAGAAGTACCATTTCTTATTAGTTATACTACGTGACTATTTTTATGTTTCCACGACGAGTTATTAGGTATACAATGGTATGGTACGTATTATGCTCTCAAAGCATAAGAACAAACAATGTTTCTAGTTATATCCCCAGATTAGATTAATATAGGTTTAGTATGGATTTATTCATTTAAGATTAATTTTCTTAAAGAATAGAAAGACATTAATGTGATCATATCTGTGAAAAATTTGTGCTGCAGAGTAGTAAAATATAGCATTTTATTCATACTATCTCGAGGTACTAAACAAGAGATAGAAAAGGGCTCTCTTGTTTCCTCTGAACATTGACGTAAAAAAGATCTGCCAGAGGCAGTATTAATATAGACCAACAGCTAGCGTCAGAAGTTCAACACTGATTTTCTCACTCATGGCTGTCAGAGTATTGAAAGTATTATCAGAGATAACTAGAATCTCCGAAACTAGAGGTTAGAGGAAAATAATTAGCCCCTCGGGCACCGCTCAATTTTGTAAAATTGGCCCGCGGGGCCAAGTATTTTTACTTTTATTTCTCGTGCCTTTATTTGTTACATTTTATGAAAAAAGCAAAAATCAATATTTCAAACCGTCAGATTTGAAATACCCTGCAAAATTAATGAACCGTCTGTATAAAATCTAACATGCTCGGGTAATTCAAAATGGCGATTTTTCGAATTTCCAGTTTGCATTTTCGATAATTCACTACCAGCTTACTTAGTGTCACTTTAAAATCGTTAGAACTTTCAAAGCAAGCATTTTGCCGTCCAAATATCTGATGCGCCCGAATTTTTTTTTCGATTGCCTCCCCTTACATTTTTGAAAACCTGTAGAAGTTTTTCCCACCGCTGAAAGTTGAAACATTATATGGCTTTTATTCATTCTATTACCTAATCTTAAAATGCAATAGGTCCCCAGGACGCTCGAATAAATCTCCATTTAGTATCATGGGCTCCCCTACTATTATTCCAATATTTTTAATGGATTGTTTAGGTTGAATAATTCCAAACTGTGAATTGGCAGCACTGAGAAAATGACTGACCATCACCTAAATTTTTTACAATTCCACCCTTCAATATCAACCCTTAGATCCCTTGCGGCACTTATTATGCGGCTAGTTCATCAATCATTTAGTCGGTGCTTAACAATCGTTTTACGATGGTATGCCACCACCACCAGCCGAGAAGATTGTCGAACAAAGCAAAAATTCTTTGCAAAATTAAAACTTATTTTAAAAATTCTTGGCCCCCCGGGCACCGCTCAATTTTACAATTATTCTACTTATCTCTGATAATACTTTCAATACTCTGAGAGGCATGAGTGAGAAAATCGGTGTTGAACTTCTGTGGCCAGCTGCCGGTCTAATAGGGGTACATAATGTTTTGTTTTTACTATTGACAGTAACGAATGTCTAAAACTTGAATAAATAAAATAAAAAAAGTAAATACTAAATTAAAAAACCAAAGTAAATATTGTGCATTGCGAACAGTTCTGACGGTCGATACAATCAAGATGGTATAAAATTTGTCCCATTTATGAAATCTCAATTATAATATAAAAAAATAAGTATTTTAGAAGACAAAAGACTGATTTAGTTATGACTGTAGCAGAAGGAATAGCTCATTGTTTTGTGTTAGGGCGTCTGCACTGTCTATCCTATGTCAATAACATGAGCAAATACATAACTAATAGCACCATGCTATCAATTTACTGAAGATACCTGCCTTGCAATTGCTGATTGCGAATTGCGAATCTGGATGCATTAACCACGTGTTGTCATGATCAAATCCCCATATATTATCCAACAGTCTGTGACGAATTTAGTGGTCTATGATTATGGTTGTCTGCGCACGGGTAATTCGATTAACTGTAACTTTCCACCTATAGAAATAGTAAAAAAACAAAAATATCTTGAATTGATTATTGATGATAAATGTAATTGGAGCATACACAATGAACGCTTTTGTGATAAACTTAGACAATTTCTTCCAAATATTAAGATTTTACTTTATCACGCATTGGCAGAATCTTAAATTCAACATCGCCTTAGTAGCTGTGGTAGCACTTACAATACCTATCCTACCTTCTTTTTTTTGTTAACGGGGTGGGTTTGTTAACGAGGTCCTCATGGATGTCCTTAGCCCAGTGGGGGATGTTGAAGGGGTCTGTCGGCTTCTTACCGCCTAAAAACCACCTCGGTGTTCCTCTCCTTGCCCGGCGGAGCGAGAATCGCAATTGCCATCTTTCACCACCCTGACAGGCATTGACCCGTCTCACCCAAGACGGGTTTCGTCACCCGTTGCGACCATACCCTTCGGTCGCAGTCCTCTAGAAGCGCACACGGAACACTGTGCGCTGTCTCTCGGGCCTATATCTGTTTGGACGACGAATTCCCCAAAATCGTCGCATGCAGGCCACTTCCTAAGGTGGCCGGAGGTCATAGGCTCGGATTCTAAGTAATTTTGCAATATGTATAACTTAAACATTTATCTTTAACATTATAGATAGAAATATGTTTATGCCAGTGATATAAAAATACTTTTGGTGTTTTGTTTATTTATTGTATATCCATATTTTATATGGCCTTGCAATTATAATTTAAATCACAAACAGTAGACAGACTCATCATAATAGCACGGGACTAAACCACCGTGGTTTTTTTGTTGCTATTGTGGAGGAACGGGTGTCATGTCCCTCCAACATAAAGGGAGGATCCTCCGACCAGGCGAGGAGATCATTGATGTTGGGAAGTTGTAAGATGCTAATCGGCGTGCGAATTAACAGTAACCCGAGGATTAACAGTACCCCGTAGTTCTTTGTGTATAGCGCTGTAGTATGTTTCTTCGTTTCGCCGTATCCGGAAGTCACCATATCCCTCCCCTCCAAGACCGGAGGTCGATATACTTGTATGATGAGTCAGCTGTCTATACTTTGTTGTAGAGCGTGCCAGTGCCAGTAGTGAGTTGTTCTATTGAAACGCGCGAGTCGGAACTGAAAGTCGCTAGTTCCAGTGAGTCGGAACTGAAGTCCTCTGATCCCAGTGAGTCGGGATTGCAGGCGTTGTATGGTGCTGCGGTAAAGTCCCCAGTGAGTCGGGGCGATTGCTGCGTAGTGGCTGGTTGGCATAGACGGGAGAGAGATGCTCTTCTTACTTGGGCCGTAGGTGCAGTGTGCTGCCCAGACGCTAATGAGGCCATAGAGTTACCAGGCTAGAGCAGTCCCCGCCTGCAGGTGGTATCCCTGTTGTGGCCGAGCTTGAGACTTTATAACTGCTCATGAAAGTGTCCACGATGGTGTCGATGGTGATGCAATGGGAAAAGTGCAGGATATCTATTAAACTGGATTGAGATTGGATGTTATGCGTAGCTATTTATCTTCCATTTTCTACTTACTACCATCGGTTCCTTTAAAATGTGTTTTTTTTTAAAGGAAGCATTTATAAAGCTGTCTATGTAACAACAACTGTGTACTGATAACAAATAAAACAATCTTTTAACTGACAAATAACATTTCTAAGAGAAGATTTTTATAACCCGAAGTAGTTAAACCACGGCATGCAAGCCATCGTTTCGAAATTTCGAACAAGATGCTCTTGAATTTTTTACATACGTATTTCTATTTTGCTCCAGGTTTCCTTCGACATTCTAATTTTACAATGTACGTTTAACATAACTCTTAATAAGCAAATCGTAACCAAATACACTATCCCGCACTAGTGTTGTCTCTAGCGAATCTTTTTCACATATTTAGAGGAAACAGCCTAATTACTTACACCACCAAGAAATCTATAGTTTCACCACCTAACAAGCCAACAGATTCATTTAATTTCTCGAATTTCTTTCTTTTAATACATAAGAACGAGATTTTCCTGTGATATCGACCTGTCTGTTTTAAACATTACCAATTTGTTATTCATCGTTGATTCTCCCTGTTTTTATTTGTTAAAGTTTTATTAATGTTTTAGGTTAAGGTTGAGTTATGTGTATTAAACTTAAAGAAGTATGAAATGTATTTGTTCAAATAGAAGTACATAGGTATTACAATGAATATGATTCAAATGTTATAACGGATACATACTCGTATATAACATAAAGAGATATATTATAAAAATATACTACGTACTCGTAGAAGGTACTTGAGTATATTTCGTATACTAATAATATTTGTAATTGTAAC